CACACAACCGCGAGGCACTCTTTTTCCGTAACAGAATAGTTGGCTTCTGCCTTAGTGAGGGCACGGCTGGCATAGGCGACCACATACTCCGTAAAACCTGGTTTGCGTTGCGCGAGTACTGCACCAAGGCCGACGCCACTTGCATCCGTGTGTACTTCGGTCGGCGCAGTATGGTCGTAATGGCGCAGTACGGGTGGCGAGGTAAGGAGTTGACGCAGTGTTGCGAAGGATTCGTCACAGGCTGCTATCCTATTCGAAAGATCTGCAGGGCCAGCAAGGAGTTTGGTGAGTGGAGCGACGATGGGAGCAAAGTTCCAGACAAACCGATGAAAATGGGAGCACAGGCCCACAATGCTCCGTAGTTCCTTAACTGTAGTCGGCTTAGGAAATTCGGCAACAGCACGAAGCTTGTCAGGGTCGGGAAGGATGCCGGCTTTCGAGAGGACATGACCAAGTATGGTGAGTTGTTAAGCCCCGAAGGTACATTTCTTCAGGTTAAGCTGAAGGCTGACGTTTGTAAGGTATTGTAGAATCTGACGCAGACGAGTGAGATGCGAAGTGAAATCGGGTGAAAAGATCACAACGTCCTCAAGATAGCACAAGCATATGTTCCATTTGAGACCACGTAAAATGCTGTCAATCATTCGCTCGAATGTGGCGGGTGCATTGCAGAGTCTGAATGGCATTACGGTAAATTCATAGAGGCCATTCGGTGTGACGAACGCCATTTTTGGACGATCGGACTCGGCCATTGGGACCTGCCAATAACCTGAGCGATGGTCAAGCGAGGAAAAGAATTCTGCATCTTGGAGACAATCGAGAGTGTCGTCTATGCGGGGAAGAGGGTAAACATCTTTTCTCGTAATGTTGTTTAGGCATCTGTAGTCTACGCAGAACCGGATCAAGCCATCTTTTTTTTTTTTTGACGAGTACAACTGGGGAAGACCAAGAACTACAAGAAGGCTTGATGACTCTGCAGAATGTCGTCTACTTGTTCTGCAATTACACGACCCTCCACCGGCGACACACGATAGGGGCGCTGGCGCAAAGGAGTGCTCTTCCCTGTGTCAATTGTTTGAACAACGGTGTTCGTTCTTCCTAGCACCGCTTGGGGAAAGTCAAATCAACGCCTGAATTCGTGCAACAAGGTAACAAGCTGCTCTCGTTGAGACGGAGCAAGATGGCTGTCAATAGAACGGTAAAATGCATCAGAAGACACGCTGTCCGAGGCACGGTGAGGAACCAACGCGTTCAGCTCCATATTCCGCTTGGTGTCGAAGAAATCGGTAGGCACGATAGTACCTTCATCGATAAGCTGAATGTGGCCGTACGTCTCGTTGCTGCGCAAACTGAGGGGGCACAATTTGGGATTGGAAATAAATATTCCAGTGGTGTCTTGACAAAGCGCAAGAACGGTGAATGGCAGCGATGCGTGGTGGCGGCTACCGAAGATGTCAGATGGTTTGAATAGGACGGTAGCGTCAGAAAGTGAAGCACAGTAGGCAAGTACAAACTGGACACTGAAAGGAGGAAGGTCAATGTGCGTCACGACGACAAGGTTAGCCACACTAGATACGGCCGCACCAACAGAAGGCGCATCACGAAACGTTAACAGCTCCACTTCGGCCCGAGCGCAGTCGATGATGGCGTGATGACGTGATAATAAATCCCATCCTAGGATGACATCGTGGGAACATGAAGCAGACATGTGAAATTCAATAGTGTACAACACGTCTCGAATTACCACTTTTGCTGTACATGCCGCGACAGGCTCAATTTGTTGGGCGCTCGGAGTGCTAAGAGAAACCACGGAAGAAAGCTTTGTCACTTTACGAGAGCCGCAGAGTCTTTGACTTATCACAGATATCACGGCACCGGTATTGATAAGTGCAAGTGTTCGTACACCTTCGACGATTACATCGATAAGACTGGCGGGAGACAGGCGACGACTTAAACGATTAGACGATGACTCAGCTCGTGCCTCCGGAGCTGCAGCAGCTCGTGCCTCCGGAGCTGCGGAGTTCCGTCTCAATGGAGGTGGGTCGTCGACGCTTAGGTGATGCAGAACGATGACTTGTTGAAGGGGAATGCGAGCGGGAAGTAGACCGTCGAGAAGTGGAGGTTCGGGTGCCGGAAGCAGCTTGCGCGTCACGTTCGTGAACTTCAGGTGGCATGTGAGGTGCGTGGTATGGAGGCCGAAATGAGTAATCAGGGTATCTTGGTGCGTTAACTGTGAAGCGCCGACAACATAGACGTGCAACGTGGCCTGGAATTCCGCAAAAGTAACATGTGGGCCGGTTGTCAGCAGTGTGCCAAGGATTTCTGGCGTGCTGCTCTGTAGCTGGAAATGGCGCAGTGGACAGTCGCGCAGGTTGTGGCGTATACACTGGCAGACGAGGCAGAGGCATTGCCACGATGGCTGCATAAGTCAGTGGCGCAACAGCAGGTGTTGGTGGAGAGGCAGACGTCGGCAATGGCAACGCCTCGGAGACCTGCCCCTGAATGGCCTGTCTGATGGTCGGCGTTAGGCGGTTCGTTGGTGCTTCAAAAGTCGGTGCTTCAAAAGTCGGCAGATACAAGAGACACGGAAGCTGTCGTGCAACCTCTTCGTGTACATATTCTTTTATCTGCTCCAGCAGAGTGCTGTCACCACCGACAGCCAGGGCAGCGAGAGAGTCCTCTGCTGTCGTCGACCATCGAACTGATGCACACTGTTTTCAAATCTCTTCCAAGCTCTGGCACAAGGTCACAAGTTCGGATACAGTACTTGGGCCCTTCGCCAGCAACATTTGAAAGGCATCATCGTCTATGCCTTTTAAGATATGCCTGATCTTGTCTTGTTCGGTCATCTCGGGGTTAAAGCGCCGGCGTAAATCGATAACATATTCAATATAGCTTGTGAAGCTTTCGCCCTGTTTTTGTGCGCGTCCGCGTAGGCGCTGTTCAGCGCGCAGCTTGCGCACTGCGGGGCGATCAAACACAGCTGCAAGGATGATCTTGAAAGCGGCTCAAGTGGTAAATTCAGCACAGTGGTTTGTGAACCACAGGTTGGCGACGTCCTTGAGATAAAATGGGAGAAATTCCAATTTCGAGGGATCATCCCACTTGTTGGCAGCGCTCACCTTTTCAAACAGATGCAACCAGTCTTCCCCATCGTGGTCCTCAGTGCCGCTGAAGAAGGGGGGATCCCGTTGGCGCAGGGTGGTAGGCGCGATAACCAGTTGACATTGGGCCGTGGTTTGCTGGGTGGCACCTTGCTCGTTTGTCTGATCAGGCATTGCTGACGCAGTGGGCAGCTTTCAGCTTCGAAGTTCCAGCTTTGCGTACCCAGCACACTTTCACCACTTTGCAAGGGAGTTTAATAGCGATGCCAGGTAGTAGGCAGACGGCCGGTACGGACACAAATACTCGAGCAGTCCAGCGTCTACAGCTCGTGCATGCGCTTCGCACTCAGAGATGGTCCCACAGGTCATTGCCTTGCGAATTCCCCACTACACAAGGATTTCTTCGAAGGAACTTCTTTCTATTAGCACCGGGCCAGGCAAACATTTACAGCATTGGCAATGCTGAAATCATTCACACTGGCATACCTACCAAGTTCAAGGGATAATAATCTGGTAAATTTCCTAAACTGGAGGAGGGAGGGTCTAACCACATGGATTCACCTGACCCCACACCTTTTGTTAACATACACAAAAAACCTCTCGAAGGACCACTAGTTGCCAAACTACTCTGCCTGTCAGCGATGTGATGTTACCGTAATTACTCGAATCTAACGCGCACCTTTTTTCCGGTTAGACGAGTTCATAAATCGCGTGCGCGTTAGAATCGAGTACGAAAAAAAAAGAATATGGTCACTCTATTGCCATCGGCATTTCCAATGTGGCCGCCCCCTACGTGCGTCGGCATGGCGCGTCGGCCATTTCTGCCTATGTGTTTCCCATGTGCGGCACTTCGTACGTGTGCTGAGGAGTTCGTCATCTTGTAGTGCATTAGCATCGACGGCATGGAAGGGCCAACTCCAAAAACTCAAGTGCACCACGATACCGCTTTTAAAAGAAAAGTCATCGCGTGTGCAGAAACGGGCGGAAATCGGGCCGCATCGCAATCGCTCGGAGTTCCCGAAACGTGCGTGCGGGACTGGCGGAAACAAAAGCAGAAGATTGTCGAGAGCAAAGCTTCACGCAAAGGCTTCAGTAGACCACAACAGGGTCGGTTTCCGCAAATTAAAGAGCTGCTTGGCGAGTATGTGTTTGAGCAGCGAGCGGCACAGCGGCCTGTGACGACAGAACTGCTCCAAGTGCGGGCTATGCAATTAGCTTAAGAAAAAGGTCTAATTCGGAGCCAGTTTAAAGCGAGCAGTTTATGAAGAGGAAAGGCTTTTCCCTCCGAAGGGGAACGGGCATATGGGAAAAGTTTTGCAGAGGAGTACGATGAAAAGCTTCACAGTTTTCAGAGGTTCGTCCTAAACTTGCGGCACAACAATGGCTACCTGCTTGGGCAAATCGGGAATGCCGATCAGACGCCTCTTCACTTCGACATGCCTGGCACCACAATCGTTGAGAAGAACGGATCGAAGCAAGTTCGCTTGCTGACATCGCTCCACGATAAAACTACAGTGACGGCAATGCTGTGTTACACGTCAGATGGGCACAAGTTTCGCCCGTACCTCATATTTAAATGGAAGACGCTCCCGAAAGGAGTCGCTTTTTCGAGTGGTGTGATCGTGCGGGCTAGCAAGAAAAATGGGTGCTCGTCGCAATCGATGTCTTAAGTTTTTTTTTTTTTTGTCGTGGAAATCGGGTGCGCGTTACAATCGAGGGCGCGGTAGAATTGAGTAAATACGGTACCCAATGAAACAGCAGCAGGCATGTACCATCCCTCCTCTAAAACCTACTCGGAAGTCTTTCACGGATGAATACACACATGTAGATCTACACACTACGGCCACCCATCCCTTATGCCTAAATGCCGACGGCCCAGTGTGGGATGATACCTACCTTGTGATGTCGTACACCAGCAAGGCACCTGCGGCTCCTCGGTAGTAGCTCCTTGTCACAGACCTGGACAGAGACAATCCACAACAGCACATGATGTTGCAGAGTAGACAAAAGTCTACCAATTTCAGCACCCTATCCATGGCTCAAGCCACGTAATAGAGGTTTTTCTTTCCTACTATGCCAGAACTTGAACTTGATCACAGACAGAGATGAAAACAAAGAGCTTTGAGAGCGTTTGTAAAGTACACTATGGCTGTGCTGTATAGTCTACTTGTCATGCAAACGTAACCTTTACTCTAAAACAGATGCGACTTATTCTACAATGAAGCCGAAGACCTGGATTTATTGTACAATGCCTCATATGTTTAAGATGAGAAAAAATTCTTTTTCACAACAACATGAAAAAGTGCTTTCCGGAGGCCGCACTTTTTAGGAGACTTCATTCAGAGATGTACAGTACACAAATGAAAACATGACCTTTTTTTCTTTTTTTTTTTCGAATAACAGATGCTATGAGAGATTAATCAGTTCAAAAATTTTGTGTGTAATAAATCTACAACTGGCAAAATATTTCAACGCAACTGACCACTAGGGCAGCAGAAAAGTGGCAGTGGCTAGGAGCTCTATTGCTACACAACAGGGTCCGCTTGTTTACAAGAAGCAGATGACGCAAGAGACAGACTGTGAACACAATCCTGTGCAGTCGTTACCACACAATGGCTTAAGATCAGATAGGGCAACACGAAGCCTTGGAAACAAGATATGACAAGCACGTTCAAGTCCCAACAGCCAGACACGTGCAGCCATCAATAGATTCCACCACGAAAGTCCAAGCAGCGATAGACCCTTTTCATTTCATGTTCCACAGGGTGCGCTTCCCGGAGCTGCGCATTTGGAAAACTAAAAACGGCACCTGCCGTGCTTCAAGTGAAGAGGAAGCTGTAGTTGCACATGCTGGGACCTGCGTTCTATGTGTGTCCCTATCAAAAGGGCTGAGCCTACATTTTCCGCATCACATCACAAGCAAACTGTGCGTGAACACGCTGTTTGTGGAAGCGACTAGCCACCATAAGTTTCGGCTAGGACATATCGCAGAAAAGCTGGCTCTAATATCTTAAAAGGGTCCTATTGCACCATCGAAAGTGAATTTCACTGCGGATGGAAATCTACAAAAGAACAATAGTGCTTTGAATATAAACACAGTGGGAGACAACCATAGAAGGCAGCAGCATTTTCACCTTAGAGGATGCACATAAGCCTGCACCAAGGAGTGCACCCTCTAGACTGACTTATCTGCACGGGTCAGTGAACTCTTGCTGTCAAAAACCATCACCCAAAGCACTCTTTATTCAGGCATGGAGGCAGTCAAATGCCATGCTTCAATTATCATAGCGGGGCCTCTCTTGCCCTTTTATGACTGTAGTTGATGTGACACTGCGACCGTCTAGGTGTGCTCACGAGTTGGTTCTCGGCTTCTTTAAAGATCATGAGCGCCCTCGGCGATTGCCTAGCAGCCCATAGCATCCAAGATGTCTACAACAAAATGTACAATAATACAATGTAGGGTCTTAAACTGAATGACACAATCACAGTCCACTGAACAGTAAAACCGCATAAACATAGAAGAGGCAAGCTTGCAAGTTGGCAGAGTGCACACAATATTCGAGTCTGCCTAGCTACATCAGGAAACAGCAGCGATCATGTTAGATTGGTAGAGGGGTGTGCTTACCTGAATCGTTCCTGGCCTGCAGTGTCCCAAATCTGCAGTTTGACGGACCGGCCGCCGACATTCACCACCTTGGAGCCAAACTCAACACCGATGGTGTGGTTGGACTCGGCTTTGACTGCGCAGAAACACGAATCAAAAACTCGAATGAAAAACTCAGAAAAGGCGCTCACTTCCTGATGAATACGTAGCATTATGCAATTTTGTTTTGACAACTTTAGGAGACTGATCACTTAGCGCGCTGCTTTGATCTGGTGCCATTATCACGTTTCTCAGGTAACACCTTTCCAGTGAACTAGTAAACAATCAAGACTGCAAAACATGGTCTTGATGCAAAATCTGAATGCAAACCTAGCCAATGGCCACTGCAGATTTTTTTTTAATTTGTTAAAGCATGCTCTCGGAAGAAGGCTTTTACCTCTATTGTTAAATTAACTGCACAAGCATGGAAATTCCAAAGCCTGTTGACTTAGTCCTTCACGCAAGCATAGTCTCCTAACGGCTTCGGTCAAGCTAGCTCGAACGATCCCTGCCAATCATAATACACGCCATCGATGGTGATACAACACTCAGTACTAATGACACCGTGCGCTTTTTTTCATCATCTTCACCTCATGCGTGGCCGCCTTTACCAACTCACCGGGTACGAAACAAAAATTTCATCCTTTCCACAGACAGCACAACAGTCAAAGACGAACAAAAACGTAACATTATGGAGTGCTGGCAGCGAGCTCTTTGCAATAATCGCAGCTGTCATGCATAAACAAAATAAACAGAAACCTCCACACTTAAACAAGGCCATATTGCCACAACCAACGCGTGTTACCCTGACGTGAAGACCTGGCCGAACGAGGTTTTTTTTTTTTTTTTCTATCAGCTGTCGGATCAGTCGGTCACGGCGTTATGGGCACACTAATTGTTTCGCCTTTCCATCAAACCCGTTCCATTGCTATTTTCTCGTTCCCCGATCAAGCGCGCTCTACCCAGAGCGACTGCGCTAGCGAAGAACCACGTTGACATGAGCGCACGTCACAAACACCGGCCTAGTCATCGCGCGAACACCCGGCCGAAAGCAAGACATTGCAACGAGGGCGGTCTGCATGGCAACAATACACACAAAAGGTCACTCACACTTGTTTTCAATGAACTGGTGAAGCAGGCATGACTTGCCCGTTCCCGCACTGCCGATCACCAGGAACTTGAACAGATAATCTGCGGGGGAAAAAAGCAAAAAAAGGCGGGGTCGGATTAGTTCGACAGGGAAAGGAGATTAGGACAAAGCGGCCGCCGACACAGATCGGAAAAAAGCTCGCGGGACTCTACTAATCCGGCAAATGCAATTAGAGGTGCAATGGAGTTTTCTGGGGAAGAGATTATAGTGGGAGAAGCAATTAAGTTTCCAAGCGTCAAGTCACCACCGTCTGTGTATTCGATCCACGGAGGAGACAGGGTGAGGTAAACGCACAACCGAAACAAAATTATAAACGCTGCACAAAACACTAACAATTTTTCCTGTCTCTACAGGTCCCTTCGCCTGCAAGCCAAATCAACGACATAATATCTCTTAAGACAATTCTCATCACGGTGAAACAATGCACCGATCTTCTATCGTTCCTAAGATCACGAAGTTCTATAATGCACAGGTTCGGCAAACCTGGGTTCTTTTTTTTTTTACCATCTTACCGGGACAGCACGTAGTGCGAGTAAACAAGTGTGATACAACTGTCCGCGCGGAGGCATCACACAAGCAAGCAACTCGATTGACGTTAAAACCGGAACACTGAAAGACGCGTCTTCGTTCAAGGCCCGTCACAACTACGGCAGCGTTCCCGAACAGCGCTGCAAAAACATGCACGGCTGCGTGAGGCGTACCCGATTTCCTACGCTTCAGCATCGCCGAGTTTTTCACCCCGAGAGCTGTGCAGTAGCAGTAGGCGCAAGCCGCACCCTGGGCGACGTTGCTTAGGTTTTAGACCCAGGAAGCGAGACGTCGTCAGACGGGCGCCAAGAAATGGAAACGCTTTCCAAGACGTAGTTCCAGTTTTCGTTACAACGAGTCGGGACTGCGATGCGTCAACGAGGTTAAACGCCGGCACGGAGAACGAGCAAAGTACGATGTAGGCCTACTGGGCGAGACCGAGCTCGCTGCAAACCGTACAGCTGGTCGAAGGTGGAGGGGGATGATACAATCACGCACGCTGCCTTCTTTTTTCTCACTTCGAACGATCGTGGCATGCGGAAGCGCGGCGATGCCATGAGCGACTCACCGTAGGTTTCGGACATGCTGCCCTGCACTACGACGCCAGTTTTGGGGCATCAAATTTACACGGCGCCCGGAGCGCTGCAGCGCATCGAAGCAGCTCCCTCGGCGCTTTTCACTCGCCGTCTGCCAAGTGGACGGCTGACGGGCTTGGCTACTTCCGCGGCTTCGTAAACAATCAGCGAGCCAACGCGGAAGCCGACTTGGGGAACCTGGCTACGTCACCAGCGACGTCACACGCTTCCGTTCATAGAGTTCACTTTCGTACAATATTTTCGTGTGAAATTCTATGCTTCCCTGCTATCACACCCCGTATCCCTCTTCCCGTAAATAATCGTAGCAGCATCATAGAGTATAGTTACTCTATGGCAGCATGGCATAGTGGCGATGTTTGTTTTGCTACAAAGGTATTTTCTACCTTTTTTTTTTCGCTTCCGTAGTTACGCTGTAACTACATCTAAGTTGCGCTGTTCGTATATTCAGTTATGCCCAACCAACTTGCCCAAGTTTCCACGATTCAAACAAAAAGGCGCCGACATCTGGTCGCCAATAATAAGACGTATGCAGTTGCAAGAGTGGCATAAAGGTCTAGAAAGCGTTTCTTGTTTCGGACGTAAGGGGACAGTTCTGCAAGCGCGTGTACCTTTTTTCGCGAAGCTGCTCGTTCTGTTTGCGTTTTCGAACTTTGATTTGCATAAGATAACAGGCAGAATACAGCGAAGCCCCACCAAAAGGTAAATATTCTTGAAGAGTGAAAAAAAAAATAATAAGGCAACGCCAACCGACGTTACTGTGCCGTTGCTAGGTGCAGTCAGTCATTAAAAAATAAAGAAAAGACGAGGGTATTTTTATAGAACAAATTCACTGCAGCAGCTGCGGAAAAGTGATCGACGACACGTAACGCACGTTACGACGAAACATGACGAGCGAATGCTGGGGCACGGTCTTCTTTCCAATCATACATAACGAAGCTTTCGTTACAGCGAAATGAAGCTTTACTGGCAACACACTATTATTTTATTATTATTCCCGTCATCAGTCACATGTCTGGGAACATCGCTCGATCAGAGTGCGGGTGGCTGAACCTCTCCGACGGACTTCACATGCCACCTGTGTGAACCAATGTTTGCAAAACAGAAAAAAAAACACGAACACATGAATCATAGAGGCAATAAGGTCAAGAAAAACAAAACAAAAAACATGTGGGATATCAATTGCAGTCTGTAACTGAATGTAGTAATTGTTGCGCCAATTGAAATGAATTGAAGCCGACGAATTATCATCCCATCCCTCGGAGGGATACGAACCCAGCGACGTAGGGAGTGACATTTCGTTTTGTTTACATCGCAATTATCACAATACACTTAAAACAATATATTTTTAGCAAGTACAGAAGCCTTTATAAATAGAGAATCAATTTATTTTGTTAGTTTTGTAGAGCGTGATTGAATGTTTTATTTTTGCACATAAAAGTAACATCGTTTGGAAACAACATCTACATTGTATTATCTTAATCTAACCTAATTAATCTACGCCAAATCGTAATCAAGTAACAAATAAAAAAACTTGAACGACGGAACAGAGTTTTTGTACGCACAATGCAAGTCATCCACGGCAATGAACAAACAGTTCACAACTCGCTGACACTAAACTCGAAGTCGCTTCATTTTCAGTGGAACATGTCCGGCTTTAACACCATCTCCTCGAGGATGGACTCGTGCACGAAGTTCACAGTGGCCGCGTCGGTGCTGGGAACGTTATAACTCACGAACACCTGACGGTCTCCCGTTCGCTTAGCAAGTTTCGCGGCCAGCGCATTGGACGTCAGGTCGGAGGCGTCGCCCATGAGGGAGCACGCCGTGGGCGCTTTCTCGAATGCCGTCGACATGGCGACCGATAGGTTCTTGAAACAGCCGCTCTGCGAGCCGACCCAGAGGAAAAAACTCGACTCCATGCGAAGCACGAGGAAATGCACGCTGTTGCCGTTGAAGTGACGCGAGAACTGGTGCGTCCTGAAGCCGCTGCTGGACTCCGTCGCCGCTGCCGGCGGTGTTGGTGCCGTTGACGGTGTAGCGGACATTTTGGAGTTTCTTTCACTAACGCAGCGAGTTCCTCAGTCGGCGAAGGTCCTATGTTACGTTTACCACGCGTTGATGTAACGCCGGCGCCGTTGGAGAACGCAAATTAGCGTCAAGAGATATTCCCCGCGCAGAGGAGAAATGACAAAAAATGCCTCACGTGGGCGCGGCCATGTTGCCGTTAAGGAGGTAAAGAAACCAAGACCTACGGAGCAACCATGAAAACAACAACTCTTTTCGAATCAGTAATGCAATGAGCGCCATCTAGGTGCTGCAAAAAAAAAAAAACGACTGCAGCCTTCGAGATTGGGACACGGCGCCAGTTTTGAAGCTCTGCGCACAGCGGTATCGGGAAGAAACAAGTCTTTCAGGGACGTCACAGTTGATTGTGGTGATAAGGTTACAATACAGTGACATTCAATGGTTCAGGTTGAAAATACGTCTAATATCCAAGAAGAAACAAGGCAATGAAACTCCAAAACTCAATTTGGCTCCAGTTGAAAAAAAAAAAAAAAAAAAAGCCGAGCAAGGAAGAGCGAAGTGGAAGTGGACGAGAATGAACGACAGTCAATCTATTGCTTCCTAGGGGGAAAAAAAAACTTTCTCGATGAGGCGTTGGTCAAACAAAAATACCGTAACGAATGCTGGCGTTTTACGACCAAACAAAAATGCCGTAACTAATACTGGCGTTTTACGACCCTAAACCACAATGGTGATTGCAGTAACAATAAATAAATAAATAAATAAATATGATTGTGAGGAAAGCCGAAGTGGAGAGAGAAATAAATAAACGTTTATTTAGAAACAGTGCTCCGAGCGAGGCCCGTTGTCACCCTAAGGTGGGAGGGTTCCCTAGTCCAGGGACCCTGTCACAGAACGAGCGCTAAAAAAGAGAGCGCGCCGCCAAATCCTTGCGACAACGGGCGGTAGAAACGCCGCGAGGTAAAAAGAAAAAAAAAGAAAGCAAACATCCAAGGCTCCCGGGCGCGCGCTCTCCCCGCAGAAGCACGGCTTCGCAGACGAACCTCCTCACCCCACAGCGGCGGCCGGGCAAGCGCTAGAAATTTCCAGAACGAGGGAGGCGTGGCTATGCCGAGCTGAGTCACCCGACGCGGAGGGCTGACAAACCGTCTCGCCTCTCTCCAGCCTTCGCTGCGTATCGCGCCGACGAAAGGACGAGAAAATTCTGGAAAGTGGCGCGGAAGGTATTTAATCGAGCGGCCGAGACGAGAAAGCAGGAGGTGACGGAAGTTAACGCCAGAGCGCGTAGGAATTCCGCCGTGTAGTCGGCGAAGGTTCTGCCCGTAGTGACAGAACAGGAGGAGACGGAAGTGAGCGCCAGAGTGCGTAGAGAGTCCGCCGTGTAGTCGGCGAAGTTTTTGGTCCGTAGGGACGGCTCGAGCTACAGGCAAGAGCGTGGGTTTACCGCTATCGAGCGAAGACGCGGGCAACAGCTGCGTGTGTGAAGCCGACGGATTTCCGGCGAAGAAGTTTGAAGCTTGGAGAGTGGCCATTTGAGGACGCGAGGTTTCCTGGAAGAAAAACTTCGAGAACTACGGAACGACAACAACGCTGGACTTTGAGTGAGTGATTCTCGGAAGAGTATCATTCAGACTTTTGTTCCAAGGACTTTGGACTGAATAGGTTTTCTATCTCTTTAGTCCTTAAGTGTCTTGGTTGTTCAATGCATGTGACTGCATCGTAGTGCGTATTGTTGTCTGTGTCCGTTGTTTCAAGTGTGGTTGATTGTACTGTGTAGTACATTGTCTGTTTGGTGACGTATTGTATGTAACTATTGTGGAGTGTGCATACGTGTGTATTGTTTTTGATCTGCCGTTAATGAGAATATAATTTTGTTTGTTTATCAACTCTCGGCTCTGTCTTGTTCTTTGGGCCACAGCCGGCGTCCGCTGGCGCACCAATAAGGACCACTTCTAAATTGTCCACGCTTTCGTGGTGCGGTTCGGGGGGCCGATACTTCGGCTCTTGGAATTAGCCCGGCGATCGCCTCCCTAATAAACGGGACAGGTGTGACAATTAATCTGGCGTCCGCGATACAGGACCTTTTGGTGCACAGTGTGTCCAAAGTAGTGAGAAAGAGCCTCGAGTTGTTGATAGTGCTATCGGAACGATTTTGTGTGTTGTTCAGTGTTCTCGTTAACGAGTGCAGGGGAGTGTTCCGATAGACTGATTTAGGCAGATACTTTTTGCACGCGGCAAGGTTTCATTTGCGAGTTGCGAGACACAATGGATCTCGAAAAGTTAGTTGCGCTTGGTGAGAAGATGGGTCTTTCCGGCGCCGAACTACGGAAATGGGTAAGCCAGAAGGAGAAAGAGGCGGTGGAGAGAGAAAGGTTGGCAGCTGAGAAAGCCAAGGAAGAAAAAACAGCTGAGTTGGAACGAGAGAGGTTGGCGGTCGAAAGAGCCAAAGCGGAAAAAGAAGCTGAGTTGGAGAGAGAGAGGTTGGCGGCAGAGAGGGCCAAGGAAGAAAAGGCAGCTGAGTTGGAGAGAGAAAGGCTGGCCGCTGAAAGGGCGAGAGAAGAAAGAGAAGCAAAGGAGCGACAGCTGAAAGAAGAAAGAGAGGCAAAAGAGCGACAGCTGAAGGAAGAAAGAGAGCAGCAATTGAAGTTGGAGCTGGAGAGAGAGAAGTTGGCAGCCGAAAGGGCGAGGGAAGAAAGAGAAGCGGAGATGGCTGAAAGGGAACGGCAGCGGCAGCACGAAATTGAACTCGAGCGGCTCCGTTTGCAACAGCGAAACGAAACTCCCGTCCAAGCTAGAGTTGAAAGCAGCGAACGGGAAGATCACGGCTTCCGCTTGAACCCAAGCAAGCTGCTCGTAGCGTTTGATGAAAGGAAGGACGACCTAGACGCGTACCTCCACAGATTTGAGACGATTGCGAGGAGCCAGAATTGGCCGGAACAGCAATGGGCAACTGCTTTGAGTACCTGCTTGAGTGGTGAAGCGCTCAGTGTGTACGGTAGGCTGACGCCGACCGATGCGGCCAACTATGCAAAGGTGAAAGCTGCTTTGTTGAAGCGATTTAGATTCACTGTGGAAGGATTCCGGGACAGATTTCGGACAGGAAAGCCAGCTGATGGTGAAACGGCTACGCAGTATGCCGCCCGACTTTGCCATTATTTCGACAGATGGATTGAACTTTCAGGGACAGCACAGGAGTACGAGGAGCTTAGAGAGCTCCTAATTAGAGAACAATTTCTTACTAGTTGCCACCCAAGCCTGTCGCTGTACTTGAAAGAGAGGAGAGCTAAGTCACTTGAAGACATGCTTGAATTAGCTGATCAATTCTTGGAAGCGCAAGGTGGCACTAATTTGGCCAAAGTCAAGAAGGAGGGTCCCGAGGATTCGAAGAAATCGGCTCCTGAGGAAAAGAAGCATGCACCGGAGAAAATTCCGCGATGTTTTCTGTGTAACCGAGTGGGTCACCGTGCTAGCCACTGCCGAACTAACTTCACGAGCCCTACGACAGTCAAATGTTTCAAGTGTGGTCAGACTGGGCACAAAGCAGATGCATGTCGGAACGGAGTGAGTCAAACTCACCAGGTATCTTGTGTGCAAGCGGCACCGAAATCTGATAATAATGCCGTCACCGATGGATTCGTAGAATTGAAGAATGGGGAGAAAATTCCTATTGTGGGGGCTGTAATGTCAAAACAGCCAACCGGTGTTACGAAGGGAATGCCAACGCTTCCTGGAAAGATTGCAGGCAAGAAGATTACGGTTCTAAGAGACACCGGTAGCTCCACGGTTATCGTGAGAAGAAATTTGGTACGGGAAAGAGAGTTGACAGGCAGAACGAAACCGGTTTGCCTAATTGACCGTACGGTCCGGATGCTTCCCGAAGCAGAAATTGAGGTTGAAACCCCGTACTTCAGCGGGAAGGTTACCGCTTTATGCATGACGACCCCCCTGTATGACTTGGTCATCGGAAACATCGACGGGGCGCGAGGGCCAAGTGATCCAGAATGTTTGGAAGAAGACCCGAAGATGGAGTCCTCGCCAACACAGCGGCCGCGAGATGCAGTGGAGGAGCATCCCGTGACGGATCTCACTAGAGCCCAAGGGGAAGCTGCGGCGCAAGAGACAGCGAAGGAGAAGACGATCGTGTCGAATAAGTTCACGGGCCGAGCAACCGGACTTACGTCGGCACGACCTCAACCGACTGACAGTGTAAAGGAGACGGAGTTGGCCAGCCGGGCAAAATGTAGAGGCATTATCAAGCGGGTAAATAAACAGACAGGACCCGTCGAATGTAATGACGCGTTAACGGTGTCGGAAGAGACAACGATGGCTGAGACGACGCCTCAGATATCGTCGTGGGAAAGGGCTCGCCGAAAAAGAACGTGGAAACACAAGAATAGATCGAGCGAGCACCGCAAAAAGGGGCGCAAGCGCTGTTCGAAGTACTCAAGATAGGTGCTGAGGTGGAATCAGAATGTGTTCGGCAGGGCTGAGTGACATATGTTGTGTTAATATTCTTGTTATCCTGTGTCTCAAGTGTATGTCGAGTGAGTCAGTGTTCTGTGCGATGGTGTGATGTATAGTGTTGTATAATTGTTGGATAGACAGAACTTTGTACGGTTGTATTGTTTAGAATGTGTGATGAAGTGTTGTAGGCATGTACCTGTGGCTATATTTCATGTGTTGTGGAATTGAACTACAATGTACGATTGTATTGAGTGATATATTGTGAATGTGAAGTGTCATGAGCGACGGATTGTGTTACAGTCTGTGAGAATGTGTGGTGACTGTTCGCGCTCGTTTGTGTGGTTTTGAATATTATGAGATAATATTCTTAAAGTGGGGGGCAGTGTCACAGAACGAGCGCTAAAAAAGAGAGCGCGCCGCCAAATCCTTGCGACAACGGGCGGTAGAAACGCCGCGAGGTAAAAAGAAAAAAAAAGAAAGCAAACATCCAAGGCTCCCGGGCGCGCGCTCTCCCCGCAGAAGCACGGCTTCGCAGACGAACCTCCTCACCCCACAG